CGAAATGGGGCAATATAACGAGTGTTTCGATTATCAGCGAATGGCCATTCCATGAACGTATCAACAAATTGTAAATCGATTTTCTATAAACGGTTTGCCGACGAATAATGAAAAGATTAGCGGAGAGAAGCCGCGCGAAATCAAATCATGTTAAATAGGTCGATCGATTGAAATGTTGCGGTTACGTTGACGAGTATACACCTTTTGATTCCGTCCCAAAATTTCGTCGATAAACGTATCTTTGTTGCGAAAAGTGGAGAGATTAAAAAGTTTCTAGTACTACATTCGTAAACAGTTTCAGAGCAGGAGTACTTTGGTACTACTTTAGGAACTAATTATACGCCTTTATTAAGAGGCAAGGTTTGTTAACGCGCTTCGGTAAGCGCGACTTTATTAATCGGCTTGCACTTTCGGAGTACTTAACAACTTATTACTTTTACTGCGTGATTAAATGTTAGAATCGGTTATACAAAATTTTGTGTGCGTTAGAATTTGTGTGCTGGAATAATTAGATACTGAGGATATTAATTAAAGGCAGCTCTAGTGATATGAAGCTTGATACAATGTGTGACAATGTAACTTAATGAGAGGCCATATCCGTGGCGATATAACGAGACTGTGACTTGACCGAGAAGACACAATTTTTATCATTCTAACTTGCGTTAGAAACATTCTAACTCCTATTAAAGTTTGATTACACTATGACTAATTTACTGTAGCATTAAGAAGAAAAATTTGATACGTGTACACATGTGTGTGATATGTGTACCTGTGATCCAGCAGCGACTCCATATAAATATACTGTGGAATTAAAAATTATAAAGCCACTTTACACGCGAATGAAAAAGGTAACAATGTCAGTATATAAAAAATAATTTCGGCTTTTATTTTCGTGGTCATCGACGGTCCTTTAATCGGCCCTCAATGAAGGCGATCGATCACCGGTGATAATTCAACGCGCACGTCACACGACGATTAATCGTGTCAAATGGCAATCAGATGGAACAACGTCACGCAGCATTGTAAATACGAGGTTCAAGAAGAAAATCGATCCTCATAAATTACATCTGCCACATAATTTCGAAGCCGAAAGTCGTTCTACTCGATCGACCCTCGTTCTTTCAATTCACGTTCGATTTGAAAATTGCCATTTCCCTACGAATTGGGGTCTTCGAAGAATCACAGAGGCGTTTTTCTATGGATAGGGGATTCTTAGTATAATGGGCACAATTACTGGTATTATTAGAATATCTGTTGTGTAGGAGGAAAATGACAATGGACCGGAACTAAGGAAGAATCGGATGAAATTACAAAAAAGTAATACGTGTTACAACCTTGCACAACTTAGATGATTCAACGTTTGAATACAATACGAAATTACAACCAGATTCAACGTTTGGACCATTTAGATTCAACATTTCCTCCGGGACTTAGAGATCCCAGGAGGAAGACCAGCTTTCGCCTCCAAGAAAAATGGCCGCGCTCGTGTTTTAAATTTCCTCCAACAAACTAAACGTGTACCGTACTAAAATATCGTGTACTATGATAAAATACGAAATTGGTATTTTTTGACTGAACCTGCTATGCTGAAACAGCGATAAATAAACTTCAAACTTTCGAAGATTTTAAAGTTGTTTCAGCAAAAAGGGACAACAATCGAAACAAGCGAAAGACAAAAGAAAAACGAAGAGGACATTGTTCGAAAGACCCTAATAAAAGAAAACGACACCGTAACGTCGCGGTGGGCAACGACTAACGCAATTTATCAAACAAGATGGTCCCTTCTTGCTGCTTCCGTTCGGATCTGCACCCTCGACGTTTCGTAAGAAGGGAAAATTTCAAGCGTATCTGAGACATTTCTTAATGGAATCTCGAGCGTTTCAATTATCACGAAATGACGGAAACAAAAGTTTGCTCGTCTTGTTTTGTTTTGTTAAAAAATCGATTTCGAGAGTAATTGTGTATCTATCTGGAACTTTATATTGTTCGAGACTGTTAGTTAAATAAAGTTAGAGAAGGACTTTTTTACTGTATAGCTTGCGTATTTATTTCATTTCTTCTTGTCATAGATGACAAACCCCGTAAAAGCGAATATGTGGTAGGGATTGCGTAACGGTTAATGAAATTTATATTCCACGGAACAAAGGAAAGGCATCAAAGGGTGCTTTGATTTAGAGATTAATAGGAAGCAAATTTTATGCAATGCAAAGCTGTACAGATAACAACAGACAAGTACAGAAGGTCGATCAATAAAAACATGTTAAAATTTCGTGGAAGTATTTGTAATTAATATTGCTATTTATATCGTAGACCCCTTAATTGTCTCCATACTTTCGAGCTTTGGAAAGTGTTTCACATGGTTTCCCCTGTAAAGCGACACCGAGTATTAACAGAAAAACATGCAGAAGTTGAAAGGTGCCTACGCAACGTTTACGTGTAGGCGTCGGACCAAACCGTGTCGCTTCCACTGTTGCGTTGCCTGACCGCACACCGATCGTTTCACTTCCCCCGGCAGACATCAAAACATGTTATCGAAGCAGTGTTTCCCCGTGAAATGCAACTAAATAAACTTCTAACTACACGAATTATTTTTATCCGATATTCGTTTAAACGAGCGTACAAAGAGGGGAGAAAAAGTGAAGCTAGTGGAGCTACTTTTGGTGGAAGGTAATCTTATCGTTAATACGTATCCTATGTATTTATGACGTCGACCGACCGTTTGGAACATGTTTTCGCGATAATGCGGGCGTTCATGGCAACGGTCACGAAATCAATGCCTCCGGTAGATCGTACATGCCTACGGTGAATAACAGGTCGTTCATGCGGCGAACCGATAACGAGTTTCGCGGTGATATAAATCAACGGTGAAGTGGAGCAAGGATAAAACTGCCAGGGATTATTTTTTAACGATACCGAAAGTTTACAATCTTTTATTTCATCGCGCTTTTTAAATGTCGAATGAGTGACTTCGTTTGTTACACGCTTCAGCCATGAACTATCGACTGTTTTATTAGCATTAACGATGATGATATTATTACCGGTAGATTGATAGATCTATATTGGTACTGGGATTGGTATCGATACTCTGTTGGTGGGGTTGATGTACTGATATTTTTGTATTGGTGTAGATACTGGGATTGATACACTGGTATTGGTGTATTGGTATTTTTGTATTGGTGTAGATACAGGGATTGATACACTGGTATTGGTGTATTGATATTTTTGTATTGGTGTAGATAATAGTATTGATACACTGGTATTGGTGTATTGATATTTGTATATTGGTATAGATAATAGTATTGATAAACTGGTACTGATTTATTGATATCTGTATATTGGTGTAGATACTGGGATTGATAAACTGGTACTGATGTATTGATATCTGTATATTGGTATAGATACTAGTATTGATACACTGGTATTGGTGTATTGATATTTGTATATTGGTATAGATACTGGGATTGATAAACTGGTACTGATGTATTGATATCTGTATATTGGTATAGATACTAGTATTGATACACTGGTATTGGTGTATTGATATTTGTATATTGGTATAGATAATAGTATTGATAAACTGGTACTGATTTATTGATATCTGTATATTGGTATAGATACTAGTATTGATAAACTGGTACTGATGTATTGGTATCTGTATATTGGTGTAGATACTGGTATTGATAAACTGGTACTGATGTATTGATATTTGTATATTGGTATAAATACTAGTATTGATAAACTGGTACTGATGTATTGATATCTGTATATTGGTATACATACTATAGCATTGATAAAGTGGCATTGATGCATTGAATATGTGTATTGGTATTGATACTTTGGTATTGGTAAATTGGTACTGTTACATTGGTATTTTACAGTGGTATTCATATATTGATACTAACATGATATTGATATGTTGCTGTTGATTCATTGGTATTCATGTATTGATACAAACATGATATTGATATGTTGCTATTAATTCATTGGTATTCATGTACTGATACAAACATGATATTGATATGTTGTTATTCATTCATTGGTATTCATGTATTGATACAAACATGATATTGATGTATTGCTATTGATTCATTGGTGTTCATACATTGACACAAACATGATATTGATATGTTGCTATTAATTCATTGGTATTCATGTACTGATACAAACATGATATTGATATGTTGTTATTCATTCATTGGTATTCATGTATTGATACAAACATGATATTGATATGTTGCTATTGATTCATTGGTATTCATGTATTGATACAAACATGATATTGATATGTTGCTGTTGATTCATTGGTATTCATGTACTGATACAAACATAATATTGATATGTTGTTATTCATTCATTGGTATTCACGTATTGATACAAACATGATATTGATATGTTGTTATTCATTCATTGGTATTCACGTATTGATACAAACATGATATTGATATGTTGTTATTGATTCATTGGTATTCATACATTGATACAAACATGATATTGATATGTTGCTATTGATTCATTGGTATTCATATATTGATACAAACATGATATTGAATATTTCTATTGATTCATTGGTATTCATATATTGATATTGATATAGGAAGGAGACTAAAATAGAAGGTTAAGAACTGATCGCCAAACCTAACCGACGGTGCAAGAAAATAACTAGACCAACCGTCGGAAGATAAATAAACAAGCTTCCTTTTTTTTCAAATAAATGTATCGATCGTTTAAGATTTCATTCTCATCACAGCACGTCTATCCGCGCCCCAAGCCATACTCTGTTTCACCCTAGATAAGCAATTTCCTCGACGCGGTCGAACCGCTTAAGTGTTACACTTATATCTGTCACTGACAGAATCTCGTGTTACACTGTCGCTATCTCGAAGCGATCCCTAACGAAAGCTTTTACACGATAAGCTTTACTCTTCTAATCATCAAACGTGCGGTTTTAAAAACATTATCGAAAATTATAATAACCTTTGAAAAGATATGTAGTTACTTACCGGTCCAAGGTTGACGAATCCATTCCTGATAGCCACGCGATCAGCGACGTGTCTCTCGGCAGGTTGCCTCATCTTCACGAGAAAAGTGTTTGTGAAGATCTCGGCACTGGTGCCGGCGCAAAGGAACGCGATCACCGCGAGTAACATCGTGATAGGCCGAGGATGCACGCTGATGTATCTCGCATTCGCGGGCACTGTACTCGATGTACGCGAGGGTACCGCGATTTTCGTGCTGTCAACCCGCTCCACGGGAGGGGAAGCCAAAGAATTGTTCTCGGTGGTAGTAGCGACGCTGGTGGTGGCGTTAGCGGCTTCCTGCGTCCCACTGGTGACAAAAGCGTCGGTGGTGGTGGAAGAGTCGTGTGAATCGACGTATAAGCTTGCCGAATCGCGCGCAACAATGTAAACGACACGTGCTCTCCCCATGCTCACCTCAGGCCGACTGGCTTACTCGCTGTCTGATCGTGCGTCTTCACCAATCAACGACAGGTATGCGCCGTGAGTCTGCTCTCGAACCACCGCGCATGCGCGGCGAGACGCGATGCATGTTAAGGGCGCGATCATTAATTACTTGGAAACCGATCGAAGTCCGCGCGCGTGTAAATATTTGCGTACGAAATGCGTGTAGATTCGTGCGTGAATAGAAATGAAACGCGTTACCGATCGCACCTTCTTTTCGTGCGCGAAACAACTGCGTTAACGTGCGCTCGAGTTTGACGTCACGTGGTATATCGATCGAACGATAGTATAATGGCGCGCATCTACTAAGCATGCGCGATGAGTTGTACCCTCTTATTTATGTGTCGTCTCGTAATTTTTACTTTTTGCGAACAATTTGTAGCATTTATATGGATATTGCAATGTTATTTCAAGCTTTGTCAACGTTACTTTGAAAGTGGTTCGTTGCAAGCACTTTTATACGAGTTTCGAATTGTATGAAGTAGTATTAACCTGACATTGGTCAGACAGGAATACACTGCTTATGATTAGAAACTTACTCAGACGATTCTTTTAATTTAAAGATGATCTTTATTTTGTAAAGACTAAATGTAAAACATTTGCAAATTTACAATTAACGGTATGTACTATTAATAGTTCATTTTCGCTTGCAGTAACATATCCGTAACTACCCAGACCGCTTGCCTTCGATTATAGAAAATGAAATGTATAAATTTAAAAACTTTAACATTTCTAAATTCGAAAATTTACTTCAACTCACTCAATGAACGTTTACGATTTTTATTCTGCGGCAAATACGTTAATGAGAATGGTGGAAACTTCTTCTGCTACATCGTCATTTTCCCTATGAAAGGCACTCGCTGATATAAAAATAAAATCCCTACATATGGCAAATGATATTACAGGAAATTTAAAAAGCATTAATTATCGAGTTTAATTTCTTATGATTATTTCAGATAAAGATACAAAGATAACGCATGTTACAATTAAATAAATATGAAGAAATTTATGTAACATATATTTATAACTATCTCAACATAGCTATTACAATTCAATAACTGTACATTGTAGAATATAAAAGTAACTTCTCTAAGAACAACAAAATAGAGGATAGAGAATTATATAGGGATTTCTTAAAACCTATGAACATGATTTTATAGAATATTTAAAGTTTAAATCTCTATCCAAAAATATTTTTCTGTTATACAAATATTTGCTCTGACACAGCACATAGTTGAAATCACAAACATACAAGAAATAGGCACATCGGCATTGTGAAAAAAACAACATCGTATTGTAAAAAATTAATTTCATTGACTTATTTTACTGAATGCTTTCACCTTTTAACAGATTTCTTTCTAGGAACTTCTGACACAGCTCTGGTCATTTGACCACTTTGTTGCAGTTTACGTTTTGCCTCTAGTTTCATCTTTGCTTCCAATCTTTTACGTTCAATTTCTGCAGGGGTACATTGTACCGACTGGGACTCTTTCACAACTTCTTTAATGTTGCTCAAATTGCTAGTAGAACTGTATTTAACAATACAGTTTCCATCTTCTTTTCCTTTCAGTCTGTCAAATGCAGGCGCATTTTCCATGCCATTAATTGATGCAAAATTATTAACTTTATAAGAATTCTGACTTGGTACAACAGGATAAGTAGTACTTACTGAAGAATTATTTGAATTTGGTTGGAATCGTTTTTGAGTTGATGCAATGGAATTTGAAGTTTTACTTGTTTTACTGTTTAAATTACAATTTCTATTCTGATAAAAACATTGATCTGATAAACTTTTCGTTTTAAAAAATTTCCTATTTTCTAAAGCTGTTTTGCCAGGGAAAGATTTCTGTATTGTTTCTGTATCGGTTATAACTTCAACTTCATCTACCAAATCATCGGTAATCAACTTAGAATTGTTACAATTATTAAATTTCTTATTATATACAGCATCCATTGCATTACTCGAAGCCTGTAGATTATTGGAAGGTGTTTCTTTAGATATCTTTTTAGAGTGATTTGAGTTACAACCAGAGTTTGAAATATTAAAATCATACTCTGACAATTTGGTTAATAACTTGTCGTCTTCTATGCAAGTTGCTAAACAGTCATCAAAGGAATCATCTGGAAAATCTGACAGATCTTTTTCTTGTAATTTCCCACCCGGTGTATGTGTAACATTATTTTTACAAGCACGTTTTTGCAGACTCGTACTCTTCAAACTTGAAAATGAAAAGCTGGAAGTTGAACTTGTTTTACTGGAATTATTTGAGTATGTTTTTAGTTTGCCACTTGTGTCAGTAGATGAGTTTTTAGACATGTTGAAACTTTTAGAATTGTCGGTAGAGTTAGATGTGAAACATATGGATACTGTTTCTTTCTCTTCTCTTATTGTACTTAGTTCTTCACTTCCTTTGTTTTTACATAAATTTAATTTCTCTTCGATTTCTTGACTACACCTCACCATAGAATCATCAATAGAATCATCAAATAAATCTTCATAACTTGAACCCTTCTTGTTATTATTATTCATAATAACTTCACTTATTTTTGATTTATCATTGTCAACAATTTCTATCATTATGTCATTATTAATTTCAGTGTCAAATTCTATTAATAATTTACTGTCTGATTCATATTCTGTATCATTTCTATCTGGAATAACATCATTATTACAATTCTCTTGAATATTTTTCATTTTTTCAGTTAAAGCTTTGAGTTCAGCTGTTAATTTTCCAATATTTTCTATATTTTCCATCTTCACTTGTTTTCTTTTAAGTGGTTTTGGCAACAAAGGAGAATTAGAATTTCTTTTCTTTTGTAAATGTTTACTTCTCTTGGGGGTTTGAACATGACTATTCTTCGATTTAAATTTTTCACTGGAGGTTTTAGTACTTGGAGTCTGCCAATCCCATGAAATTTCATTACCACCATCTTGTGTACACGGGAGTGATATTGGACTACAATGATAATCAAGTTCAGGAGAATCTTCCACGTCAGGTGCATAATCCTTTCTCCGAATTGGTGTACTATGTCCATAAATGCATGATTCATAAGAATGTTGAGGCGAATCATTTCCAGTATCTATTTTCATGTTCTTTTTAATTGATGCTACAACATAAAATTAATACATGCCAATAAAAATTTAAGTCAATTCTAGAACCTACTTGATTGTATAAAAAAAAAGGATCACATTAGTTACCTTCCTCGTGATTATTAATTCTTTTCCTTCCTTCTTGTCCACTATACTTTGTCACCGATTTTCCAAATTTATTCATAATGTTTGTGGTGTCAAAACGTAAATTAATTTACCGGTTAATGATATAGGTTAATGTAAGTTTACGTACAATATTGAGTTGTGTTCTAATCTTTGAAATATTCCATAACAGTAAAAATGAAATGTCCTTGCGCAATTTTCCTTTGAAGTAATATTTGTATAGATACGTAGTTCACAAACAGAGATAAAAGAAAGAAACAACCATCAGACTTCACTATTCACGATTCCTACTGATCAAAGTGAAGCAAGTTCTTGGCGCCGTTTTCTTGATAGGTCGTACTTCATTTGCGCATTTCAGACAACTTCAATATACTCCTCACTATTAAGTGTTGTCAAAATATTATGCGTTATGGGTAAATATCAACATGCATAACGTATAAATATGAATAATGTTTATATTGTAATAATAAAATAAAGTTGAAATATTTTAAAGAAACACTAATAAGGCTCCAATATGAAGGTTGAATTGTATAATGATATTGTAGCAAGTATTCGAAAATTTCGAGGTTTATCAAAGGATTGTAGAGACATGTTGAAAGAAAAATATAGCGAGTAAGTATTATACTATAAACAAACGGTTTCATTCAATTATGAATTACAATAAAATACTAATTGCGTTTTTTATTTAGTATTCCACCTAATACACTGTATAGTATATTGTCTTTAGAAATACAGCATAGAATGAAAGTTAACCATGGTAAATTATTTGGCAACAATAAGAACTATTATGATACGTGTGTATTCTTCATATTATACTTTTTATAAACTTAGAATGTTTTATATTATAATGTTATTTAAATAATAGTTATGTAGAAGCTGTACAAAATGGTGAACCCGTTGGGATTTTATTAAAAATGGCAAAGGAAATTGGAGCACCACCAGCATTATTAGCTAGAAATATTCTTGAGAAACATTGTGGAAGAGATGACCCTAATTGTAATTTACATATAACTTATTTATTATTAAATATAGTCATTCCTAAATAATAAAAAACAATATATTTCCAGTTTCTAAAAATGAAGTGAGTAAATTGTTTAAGGACACTACTCTTATTCAGGATAAGGATCTTGCATATGAAATCTATTTGGTAATATATAAAAAATTTGTTAATTATTAAATACATATTCCTAAACAACTTTAAAATAATTGAATGTCTTTTACAGTGTATATTATATGACAATTTGTATGGACCCATAGCAGATGCTATTGGAATGTAAGATTCATGTTACTAAATACCAAATACAAATTTACTACATGTACTTATAAATCATACTTTTAGTTCTGTAGGCCAGGAGTACGAATTAAAGCTACAAAATTATTTGACAGAACGAAATCTTGCGTTCCGTAATGAGGAACACTTACGATCACGCGGATACGACAAAACCCCCGACTTTAAGCTTGAAGTACCAATTGCGGTAAATGGTTTTGTAATTAACTGGATAGAGTCTAAAGCTCGATTCGGAAATGCGGAGATACATCAGAAATATATTAAAGAGCAATTTTTGAGTTATTGGAATAGATTTGGACCAGGACTTGTAATTTACTGGTTTGGATTCTTAGATAATTTATCAAAACCTAGTGAGAAGAGATTTGTAATAATGGACCACTTTCCAAAAGATATTACATACATGGATCCTACTTGCATTAAACCTACAGCTTGTTAATTGTAATATTCATACATACGTGTATGATATTAAATATATATTTGTACTTAAATTTAAGACTTGTATGTACGTAAATATAAGACAGTGATGAATAGAAGTGCCCACTGAAAATATGAGCACTAGCATGTATATACAGAGACTGAATAGGAGATTAAAGAACCTAAGGAAAGCCTAAGATAGAGATTAGAAACAAAACCATAGGCTAAGGAAACCTAGAAAGGAACTGTTAACAAAATTTTGTACATTATTTTAAATATACTAGATATGTATTAAAATTCAACTTCTAATTTAAGTAGTATTTATCTTTACCATACAATACAAAATTAAATATATATTAATATATTTTAAATGTGTAATATCTACAATAATATTGAAATTATTCTGAAATGATAAATTTCTCTTTACTGAACACAATGCATTATTATTTTTTTTTTGTACAATTACTTCCTATATCGTTGTTGTCCATTAAATTTTATCCTTTTTCCTATTTTTATCTGATACTGTATACTTATCATAGCTTTTAGTTGGATCAAATGGTTCCCACCTACTAGCAGGAAATATATGTTTATTTCTTTCATACCAAGACCTAAAACCAAACATAATTTATAATTCATAAAAGAAATATATACAAAACTATAATTGGTGCTGAAATGTATAGTACCTAAGTAATACTTTTCCAGCATGAGATTCTTCTGTTTCTACAGAAGCATCATGCATGACACGAATATCATCATGAACATCAAATGTAAAAAGAGGTCCACTTTTTCCTCTTGCCTGAAAAAGTAATTTTTTATTATTAGTAAAATATTATTGAATTATAACTAATTCACACAGAAATTACCTTTGTCACAATGAAATCATAAAAAGTATAATGATGTGGTAAGATCAGATCTTCTTTGACATACATTAACTGATCTGCCATAACTGTTTTTAATTCACTGAATTCACGTCTTAAAACTTCCAAGCATCTTTGAAGTAGCTGATAGATAGAATTACCTGCCAGCAGTACGAACTATTAACAATTAGTATAAAGTTCTATAGCTGATAAATCAAATAGGTAATAATAATGTAGTAATAAATAGACTTTTACCTTTCTTCATAATAACACTTCTTCTATGACCAGAACCATCCCAATAACTGAAAGTAATTTCAATTTCTTCTTCCTTTAATGCATTTTGTTTTCTGGCCCATTCTTGTCTTAATTCTTCTCTTAATCTATTTTCTTCTTCCTCTCTTTCTCTGTCAGGTAAAAAGCTTGTGTCAACATCTGGATTTTTCTTTATCTTTTTTACTACAGGTCCACTATCATCATTATCTTTTGATTTCTCTATTTTTGATTCTTCTTCCTCATCAGAAAGTTCTACTTCATCTTCATCTAAATTAAATGATAAAGCCTGTATCTGTTTTTTCTGTTTATTTTTTTCAGCTTGCTTAGCAGCTAGAGCTCTTTCTTTTTCTTGTTCTTTTTCACGTTCCTTTTGGGCAAGTTTCCTCTCTCTTTCTTTTACTATGTTTTCTTGCTTTGCTTTCATTTCATTTAAGGTGACTAAACCGATGGTAGAGGTTTTCAATTGCTGTTCAACAGCATTATAGTGGGTTGCAAATTTGTTTTCTATATTATGTATCTTAAGATCATCTTCAATTTTCTTTTTCCTTAATTCTATTTCTTGCTGAGCAATTTCTCTTTTCTTCATCAATTGCATTGCACGGCCAGCTTCGCTGGCTGCTCCTTTATAGTGTGCCATGATTTCAAATAATATTTTGGAACTGCTGGAGAAAACTAATCCCAAATATTTGTATATGTATTCAATTGGAAAGCTGTAAAATAAAAGAATAGATATAAGTATCTTTTATAATAAGAAAAACATTGATAACCTATACTGAAACTGCATTGAAAGATGTCAACATAGTTGAAATTAAATGTATAAATGACAACTCTAAGTATACAAATGTATAACTTACCAAACCTTGTCCACTTATGAAGAATATTGCAATTCTACAGCATACATATTTTTAATTATTCTGCGAAGAAAATAAACAAATATGCAGTATTTTAATGCTTGAATCGCCTGCCATCTGGTGTTAACGTAATGTATAACATCATCAAACTGTCCGTGCTGCAGTGATGTGTATGCATTTATTTATGTATGTATACAAAAAAATGTCATAGGATGTATGAACGATTCATCATTACTGTGTACTAAATAATTTTAAAGTCCAAAAGTTGTGAAGAATTCAGCAAAAATGCCTGCAGTAATCGTAGGCCCTCCTCAACGGAGTGAGCAAATGTGGCAAGCATTAAAAACTCACATCACAAGAGAAAGACAACGAAAGAAACAAGGTAACCTCTCTCCCGTCATTTTCATGTAAAAGTCATTTTTCTTTCAATTGTAAAGGGTAAACTATTTCTTCCAATGTAGAACAAGAAGCGGACGCAGAAGAAGAACGACAAAGAAAAGAAAGGGAACGACAACAGAAACAAGATGTGATGACTTTAGGTGAAACCAGAGAACAGATTTCGAATCTGGAAAACGAACTTTCACAATTAAAGGACGAGAAACACCAATTATTTTTACAATTGAAGAAGGTTTTAAATGAAGATGATAACAGAAGACGACAATTAATTAAGGAAACAAGGTTCATATCATATCTTATGATGCATAGTATACAATAGTATATAATGTATCCTAATTAAATATTTTTGTTGTATAGTGTTTGTTCTGAAGTTTTAACAGCAGTTGGAGGATATCCTGGAACAGGTCCTAGAGTAGTGCATCCACAATTGTTTCTTCCATTACCACGAAGCAGTAGTCCTCTTTATAAAGTTACTGTTGGTGCACCAACACATACTTTATTACCAACTGTAAGCACACAGAACTTGTATATTTGTGTTAAACTAGGGATCTAGGGATCTTGAGGTATAAAATCTAGAAATGTAGAGATGCTGAGGTATAGGGGTCATTTTTATAGTATAAATTATTTTATACTTATATTTTTTAGGGACCATTAAAAAGAACACATAGTCCTTCACCGCCACCACCAGCTTCACCATATCATGCTGGTTATGGATACAAACCTGCACCTTCAATTCCAAGTTATAATCCTCCACCTTCCAGTAAGTCCAAATACATCAACTACACGTTTGATATTAGAACAAACGTTTTTATGGGAATAAGAAAAAGATGGTATTAAAAGTAGACATTTATACTTCTATAGAATCGGAGGAAGCAGCTAGGAGATCTGGCGATTCCCGAGCTGTTCTCTGGAACAGTGAGTGAATAAACCTTCAATTTCCATGCTCTTTTTTTACAAATAATTAAACGATAATTTTTGTATTTTTCGTTATTAACTTGTTTATGATATATTGCAGAGAATAATCAATATTCTGCATCCAATTTCTATTCAACACCTACTGGTCAGAGTGTATACAGTTATTCTGCACCGACTTCACAACAATCTCGAGAATCAGAATCTGCAAAATCGGTGTACCTCTCGGGTAACAGAGCAACATTGTCGACGCATCAAACTGGTACATTAGGATTTGCATCCTATTATATTCTGTACCATAATAAATGCATTATAATAATTTTATGTTCATTAGCATACGTGACAAGTTTACATTCACTGGATCATAAAGGTGCCTATGCAGAAGATAAATTTTATTTACGACCGAGCAGCCATGTTACTGTTCATGGTGGAGCTATTCCAATTCAGCAACCACCACAGGTATCTATTTGTGTTTAAATATAATGGTACATACACCTATATGACACACTATTATTGTAAATAATTTTGAAAAAAGGGTGCAAAGACTGGAGGAATTACATCGGGATATCCAGTGAGAGCTCCACAACCACCACCTGCTCCATACCCACCCCCACCACCAGGTACTTATGTCAGTGCATCTGGTGCTAACGTTCCTGGACGACTGTTGTACACCCAACCTGGTGCACGTTATCTTCAGAGAGAGGTTTAAAATAGTGATTTATAAATGCTTATATCGAGATATTCTGAACGTCATATATTTTATAATCATGATCATAATCGTATAAAAATATCTATAGCTGTTTATCCGATCCGTATAAAAAATTAAAATAAAACGTATTTTATATGTCATTAACTAAACGTGGTATGTACTATGTAAACATTGTATAAATATAAAATATGTAGATACGTTGCTTCATCAATAAATGTAACAGTTTTATTTATATATCTTTTAATTTAGATACTTATAGTACATCATTAAATAAAAATAGATTACTATTGTTATAATACTATTTTATCACAAAAGCATTTAACTCTTTACGCACAAAACTGAAGAATAAGTCTTTACGAAACAACATAACAATATGTAAACAAAACTGCTTTACATAAAAATAAAATTAATTTATCAGGTATTTGTTATTAATTGTCAGTTGTATAAAGTGACTCCTAATAAGTAATATCTTTCGTTATATTTGGTTTAAATCCGAATCCCTAATATTTCTTCGTTTCGTCTGTGTTTCATGGAATACAAGTGCGCACGAAGATCAAAAATATCATATATTGTATCTTTACATAATTTACAAAAGATTTTAGCGTTTTCTTGTTTGTTGGGCTCCCTGTTACATAAAAATAATATAAATTATTAAGAATAAGTTAGAACTTTATATGTTAATAAATCACTTACTCATTTGTTAGACTTCGTAAATATTTCACGTGCTCCGTAAGTTCTTGTTGTTCATTCATTTCTTCGTCCAAGCGCAATGCGGTATGTAATCTATAGATGTTATTATGGATCAGATACGGCTGTTTAGGTCGAAGGAACAGGGACTCGTCGTATAAATCCCATTTATCAAAATTATGAATTAATTCAAAAGATTGCAGTTTTCTTTGTTTATCAATTAATTTCAGCAATGCATCTTTAATTCGATTTTGGCAGGTGATCATTTCTTCCATATTGTCACTACTTTCATAATGCTGATTAATTTGCATTCCGACGTTCATCCAATGGCGCACTCTATTTATCTAGCGATAGATGTAAAAAATAATTAAAACATGTTGTTAAACAAAAACACGTATTCTGTATAACACACTTACAAGTTGTAAATCATCTATGGTAATTTCAGCATCAAATTTAAGCTCTATATCGTGTTCTGGAAAAATACTTTTCCTGGTATTAGGATCAAATCCTAATCCGCACAGTGCACCAACGTAATAAGTTCCAAAACTGTTTCTTCGTAATTCCATGAACGGAGTAAACATTAATACAACCAGAGAAGTTAACCCAGGAATGTGCGGCATCAATGTTGTATTATATAACGTCAAATTACTACCATGTATATTTTGTGACACCGATCCAGCTACTAAGAGTCTTTGGTAGTCACCTTCTAAATTGCTATCTAGAAGGGCAGAATTTACAGAATTTAAAGCCATATTTACTCTTTTGTTTCTACCAGCCACAGTCAGATGAATTAAATCGACTTCTAACGGTGAAAATGGGCCTCGTAATTTTGCCGTCGTGTAACACTCAGAAATTGGGGGTGGATCTGGATAAACATCCGGTATATAATCTTCATCATACTGTAATTTCTCATAGTGATGACACTGCTCGTCTGACAGATCTGCCTGTTGCATTCTTATATTATGATTAAAGCGTGAAAAGTAGTCTTCTTCTTTTCTTATCGCAAAACCTTTGTCGACAAGAACTTCATTGACATTAATTTCTTCTCTTTCTTCGTTCACGTGTATCAATTCCAATGAAATAATGTTACTAACGATAGAATAAATGTCGCCATAAAGTCGACCAGGCTTGTTAATTAAAGTCCAGAAAAAATTTAATGATGCTTCTGACCAATCGTCATTTAAACTATGTACTACTGACGGTCGAATTTTTGCTAGAACACATTCCATAGCCAGTGCTGGGATACTAGAAATACTTTTATCATTTTTTAGACGTCTTAAGTCGCACAATCGATATTCACTCGAATAACCATAGTCAATGAAAAATACTTGCACCAATATTTCTGGTGACGTCACGTGACCTTCAACAACTGCTCTAAAATATGTTCTGCAATTATTCTGTTCATACGGCGCGATCACAATCGAACCAGTTTCTGGAGCTTCATTGAGTGACTCTAAATTATATGGCATGGAAATTGCTGAATTTATAGCATTTAATTGATGTTTTATGGAAGAGTCATACATTTGCACCCAGAAATGACCAGGACTTTTTATCTGAAAGTTCATATAATTTTTTAGTTAGGTAAATGTGCTTTGAATGGTAAGGTGAATTTCAAGATCATACAGTAATGCACACTTAGTGGTCACAGTCCATGTTTCAACAGCTTGCTTGCTAAAATACCTAACCACTAAGTATGCATTATTGTATTTAGTAAGGTAGTAAGGTTTCTTTAGTGGTACGTACATGCTGCATTACCACAGGTATACGGGACACTCGTAGACCAGGCAATTCAGCTTTAGTTTTATCTTTCACAAATTTTTCATTCATGAAATAGGATGTTCTATTTAATTTCATTTCTTCTGCTTGCTGCATAGCTATGTCTTCATGCAAAATGGGTATTTCTATAGGGATATTACATTGCCTCATTCTTACAGCCTTGTAGACAGAAGGAGATATTCTTCTTGAAGTATTATTAGATTGAAATTTAGACGAATCGTCGTTGATAAACTGAACATATACTCGGCTAGATGAATCAAAAGACACCTTTACTTTTCCATTGGAAGACATTAAATGCTCCTTAAAAATATCTTGAATTCTACTGGCGTATAGAAGTCCAGGTTGTTTCAAAGGCCAACCTTGTAAATATACTGTTCTCAATGGATCTAGACCACCTAATAATCTCACTCCGGTATCTTTACTTAATTGATCTTCAGGTGCATGTTTAAGGAAATAGTTCGGATAGAATGCACCAGCAATGGCAATTTTTAAAACGTACGGCCGCTCTGTTTCTTTCCAAACAACTTTATTGACGCCGGCACTTTCTTGAACTCCCAATTTCTCTAATCGAGAAGTTAATTCTGTCACGAGTGCTTTCACTTCTCGGAGTACTCGAATCTGTACAAAATTTCTCCACGCCCATTTCCTTTCTGCGGCATCGTTGGTTATCCGACGATTTGCCTTTTCACTGATCCATACTTTGTACACGGTCATGAATGCAATGCAATCACTGCAAGAGCCAGCAGCCCAGCTGAGTCTAGCATCGTACGCTAGTAATTTTTGTTGAAAGGGATTATTGAATAAATCTTTAACAGTCATACATGCAGCGATAATAATGGTATCCTTTAGAACGCTAAAAACGTGGCCCAACATGATCAGTTTCGATACGTGAATATTTACTGGCAAGTTAGCCATGATTCGACCAAGATCTGTTAGCTCTCCATCAAATTGTTGTATTTCATTAGTCTTGTTAAGTAGTGCGCCTGCTTCTTTTAATAATAATATGGTCCTTTCTAAATTACCTAGATCTGGTGGGTCAAGGGAAAGTGCTAAAATAGCTTTTGGTTCTCCCATGTCTAATAACTTTGCTTTCAAAATTAAATTTTCCAGCGGAGAACGTAACATTTCCGGAGATGCTTCTCGAGGTAATATGGTATCGTAAAACATTTGTGGCACCAATCTGTATACTCTTCCATCCATTACTCGACCTGTACGACCTGCTCTCTGTTCACAATTCACTTTACTTGCCCATTTTAGTTCTAAACATTGAAAATTGGTTCTTGGATCAATGACGAGTTGTTTTGTTAAGCAAAAATCAATGACGTATTTAACATCAGGCACGGTAATGCTGCTTTCAGCAATATTAGTAGATAAAATAACGCGACGGTAACCATGTGGAGGTTTTTGAAAAATTCGTTGTTGTTCTTCATTTGTAACTGATGAATGTAATATTACTATATCCCATTTCGCCTTTTCGTGTTTTGGTAAGGACAACAAATTATGCATTTCTTCAATTTCGTGGATACCGGGTAGAAATACGAGAATTACGTGTCTTTCATAGGTGTTAGTTTCTGGATCATAGTTTGCATCATCAGCTTTCATATCTATGTCATCTAGAATTTTTATAAGATTAACAGAAAACTCGAGCATTCTATTTGAAATAGTTGGTTCACTAGCAGAAACTGGAGGTAATTGCCCTAGTGCATCCAAGTGATCGAGATAAAAAACTGTAATATTAAAATAACTTTTCTTTTCAATATCAACAATAGGGGCAGATGTAAGTTTATTTCCAACAGGCGAGGAAAAATATTTAGCAAACCTATCCACTTGAAATGTAGCAGACATTAGAATTACTTTCACAGAACGTGAATTTGTACGTAATAATTTTCTAACAAGAAGCAGTAGAAAGTCCATGTCCTGATCTCTTTCATGAACTTCATCAAGTATGACATGTGTATAGTCCAACATATTTTTTGCATTAATTAATTTATGTAAAAGTACACCAGTTGTACAATATGTCAAACGTGTATCTTTACATGTGTGATTTATCAAACCCACTTGATACCCAACAAGACTGCCTACTGGCCAATCTCTTTCTTGACTAACACGTTTTGCAATACTTATAGCAGCAATTCTTCTAGGCTGTGTAACTATAAAATATAACCATTAACATAAAAATTTTGGTTGAATAAAATTCAACATTTTTTTTTTATATAATTAATTACCTATGATATTGCAGTGAAGCTTCTTTTTGTAACAAGAATCTAAAATGAACTGTGGTACCTGTGTAGTTTTACCACAACCTGTTGGACCTTGAATTACTACAACTGAATTTGTTTCAATCATAGATACTATTTCAGTTCTATTAGAATTAATTATTAAACCAGGCTTTGGATTGTAAGCAAAGTCATAAGTTGAATAAATTTTCAATGTTTCCTCAATATTTGCATCTTGTAAGGGTACTGTACCTTGCGATATAAGTTCAAGATTATTTGTACCACCTACATTGTAACAACTTGCTGACTAAAACCACAAAAAGTTAAATACAGAAAAAATTGTATAAATTTTTATCTAAGTTACAAATTAATATACCTCTAAGAGTTCATCTTCCTCTTTTTGTACATATTCTTTCACATAATCTGTTCCGCTTGGACATGGTCCATTTGCACTAAAGTTTAATTTTGCATCTAATAAGGACATATCTTTTGGAACGTGCTTTCGACTCGATGGGGCTGCTAATACTCTCCTTTGTAATGTATCTTTTGAATTAAGTAAGTTGAAAATATCCATTTTGCTTACATTAAAAATATGTTACAGTTAACATAAGAAATAATTTGTTTAAAACTACGTCACCTGTAATATTATTTACATGATTGTTAATATATACCTTTCATTCAATTTACACCTTCTCTCAATGATTAGAACATTAAATTCTTATTCATTCAACTTAGCGGTACACGTGCTCCTCTGCTACTACTTCGCAAATAATGGTAAACACAAGCGTGCAGTTTGAAATTACATGTATTATTGTTTCGGCAACAATCGATATCTTCGCAACATCGTGAATTGATCTCTTTATTATTATTTAATGTATATTATTATTAATATAAAAAATTTAATGTATATTATTATTACTATTTCATTCGCATATAAAAATATTAATAAATGAAAGAGCAAGGGCAAATATTTTGATGATGTATGCAAAGTTGGTGCGAATGTTTGCGAGTCCTATTTCAAATGTGTACGTCGCAAAAAATCCACCAGGTCTATATATTCATACAGTAAATTTTCAATATATTGTTGTATACAAGGTTTTAAGAACTTTGTAACTACTAACAATACAATGAATAGCAATATATGTAGAATTTTGTATACAAGTTCGAAACAATTTTTGTACCCATTTAGCACCAATTCTAAATACGCACCTGTGAAGCAATAGCGGTACTTCTTCGAATGTATCTGGAAGAATTAGAAACTTGTTGAGCAATACGGTTCTGTTGTTGTAGCATATAACAATTAAAGTACTTTACATTTGGTGAAATAATTATTTATCTTCATATTTTATTTGTTAAAAACAACGTAAGAATTGTAACCTAACTGGTTAAAGAATTGATAAATAGTATTTGAAAGAATTGAAAGTATGAAGGATACAAGTGATTCCGAAAATGTTCATAAAATTAAAAATGAACGTTTATACAAGCAAAATTCAGATAAAGAAGCAAAGAAGAAAACAGATATGTATGTAAAGTTATGTTGTAATTTATTTCACACATATCAAATATAAATCTGTAATAATAATGCAATTTTTTAAATGTATTTTTATAGGAGTTGGTGGTTACTGTTTGGAATTATTATTATATTGACAGCAGGAACAAGATTTCATAAAGTTACAGAGCCACAACATGTGTGGTAAGTTATTTATAAAAATGTTATTACATGAAGCTTATAACAGTTTCTATAAGTTTCCGATATTTCAGTTGGGATGAGACTCATTTTGGTAAAATGGGAAGTTGGTACATAAATAGAACATTCTTTTTTGATGTTCATCCTCCACTTGGAAAGGTAAATTATATAAAAGCAACTTTGTATATATGAAAAGCTTACATTGTTAATTTTTAGATGCTAATAGCATTATCTGGCTATTTAACTGGATATGATGGAACATTTCCTTTTGAGAAACCAGGAGATAAATATGAAGATGTAAAATATATTGGTATGAGAATAGTAAGTCTCTTTTAAATGAACAAATTAAAAATCATTTATTATTGTAATAAATGTAAATTACATGTTCTATAAGTATATTACATGTTTCAGTTCTGTACGTGTTTAGGTGCATCTATTGTTCCTTTATCTTATCTCATTGTATGGGACTTAACAAAATCTATTCAAGCAGCTGTATTTTCTGCACTATTTATCTTGTTTGGTATACATATGATGTTTTTATTACTTCAGTCACTTATAGAAAAGATACAGTGTTATCAATAATTATGCATTTTAGATGTGGGATTGCTAACACTTAATCAGTATATTTTATTGGATCCCATACTGTTATGTTTTATGATGTGTGCTACTTGGGGAATGGCTCGTATTGGCTCCCTTCGTGATGAACCATTTACTTGGAAATGGTGGGGTTGGTTATCATTTACAGGAATTTCGCTTGCATGTACAATGAGTGTCAAATTTGTTGGTTTGTTTGTTGTGCTTCTGGTTGGACTTCATACAGCTTTTGAATTATGGAGGGAATTAGGAGACCTTACAAAACCTATTGTGAGTCTTTTACACTTTTTAATTTTTTATAGTTGCTATTAAAGTATATGCTTATAAATAAATTAATTTATTTATTGCAGACATATGTAGTAAAACATTTAGTTGCACGATGTATGTGTCTCATTTTGTTGCCAATATTATTATACATGTTATTTTTTTATATACATCTCACTGTTTTAAATAAAAGGTAAAAGAATTATTTGCAATAATTCATATTTTGAATATGTATTACCAATTTTAAATATTTTAGTGGAAGTGGAGATGGATTTTATAGTTCTGAATTTCAATCTTTATTGGAAGGAAATTCATTGTACAATGCAACTATGCCACGTCAACTAGCTTATGGAGCTACAATTACCTTAAAAAATCACCGTACTGGTGGAGGATATTTACATTCCCACTGGCACCTTTATCCCGAGGGTGTTGGAGCTAGACAGCAACAGGTATTAATTAATCTGTTTTATATATTTCTATAACTTGCTAATGGAGTACTATAATACATTTTTTTGTTTAGATTACAACTTATTCACATAAAGACGACAATAACTTATGGTTGATAAAAATGTTTGATACTGATGATATTCCAGTTGAACCTGTATTAGTAAAACATGGTGATCTCGTACGTTTGGAACATGTTATTACACACCGCAATTTACATTCACATAAAGAGATTGCACCTATTTCTAAAAAACACTATCAAGTTACTGGATATGGTGAAGTAAGTCAAATCACTTAGTTGTACATATTCTATTATAAAACGATATGTATTATTCTATATTTTAGAATGGGACTGGTGATGCTAATGACATATGGAAAATCTTAATAGTGAACGGTAAAGATGGTGATGTGATCGAAACAGTAACAAGTAAATTAAAATTCGTACACTATTTGCATCATTGCGTGCTGACATGTAGCGGTAAAACATTGCCTAAGTGGTTAGTTATAATATTTTATAAATTCCTAAGCACAAAAATAATGAAACTATATTTCAAAGCTACTATAATTTTTCTGTATAATGTATAGGGCATATAGTCAACAAGAGGTTTCCTGTAATCCAAATATGAGGGATAAGAATGCATTATGGAATATTGAAGATAATAATTATGCAAAGTGTTAGTATCAGTTCAGTATTCACAATAGCTCAATATTTTGAAATTTATATTTATGGTTGGTCTTTCTGTAGTACCAAACGTTAGTTTCCAAGTGTATGCACCAGGGTTTCTAAACAGATTTTTGGAGTCACATGCAGTTATGTTACAAGGAAATTCAGATTTGAAAGTAAAGGAAGGAGAAGTATCATCACGCCCTTGGCAATGGCCTATTAATTATAGAGTAAGTCTTACAAATAAAATGTAAAAACTAGAAGATAATCACAACTGAACTTTTAGGGTCAATTTTTTTCTGGCAATGAATTAAGAATATATTTACTTGGCAATCCCATTATATGGTGGAGTAATATCATATTCTTAATACTTTTTATTATATTATATATTCACGCCTGTGTTCGACAACAGCGCGGTTGCGTAGAAAGCCCTGCTGTCCTTGAACAAAGGAATAGGATAGTAAATGCAGGGAAATGGCTGTTTATTGGTTGGACATTGCATTATGTACCATTTTGGGCAATGAGTAGAGTCTTATATTTCCACCATTATTTCCCGGCTTTATTGTACAGTTCAATGTTAACAGGAATAACTCTGAATCATGTTCTTGATAGTTTATTTATTTTATTTCCAAATAGAATTGGAAATGTTTTTTATCATAGCATAGTGGCTATTGTTATTTCAAGTACTGTATATAGGTATGTATGAATTGCATTTTTATTAATTTTTTGAATGATAGGGTTTTGAATATATGTTTTGTTTCAGTTTTTATTTATTTTCTCCTTTGGCTTATGGTATGGTAGGCCCCTCTTCATTAGACCCAGATAGCCCAATGCATTCTTTAAGATGGATGGATACTTGGGAATTCTAACAAAAACCACTTAATATACTCTTGTTATACAGTATTTTTAAGTAACAAGGTACAGCAGATCTATTAATATTTTCTATTTTTTAAAACTGAAGGAAAACGTGACTTGTACATATCAATTTTTTATACAATTTTATAAATATACAAATTTTAAACAAAACTTGTATACTACATCATTATTAACATAACGTTATATATGACGTTACTCATTTTTTTAGCGATAAACTTTAATTGCCTAGAATATTTACGAAATCATACAAAAGTGTTTTTATTGAGAAGGGATTATGGAATATCGACAAATAAAAGAATACTGTATAAACACCCACGAGACTAAACGCTTTAAAAGGTTTCGAACAAGCACAGTCAACTCAGCTGATCGACCCACGTATTGGAACTGCGCCTCGACAATGCGACACCGTCTCGATTCATCGTTTAGTGTCTGATAAAGCGTGGCCCTCTGAAACTCTGCTTTTATCTCTAGAGATTATTTAATAGCTGTACTGCGGAATGTTCGGTCACTCGACGTCACTGTCCATACGAGTTTTATCATTGTAAACGCTATCGCCGGTGAATTAAAATCCTTGTGCGACGAACGATCAATAAACGGCTCCCGGGGATTTCCAGTCGGCCGAGCGGCTACGAACGCTCTCTCACGTGAGATCAGGAATAGCTGTTAAAGGGACCACGTGTTCCTACGAGTTCCCGGTACGTGTTCGCGCATATGTCTAAATAATTGCACACAAAACGGTACTAGTAACCGTGTGACAGAAGCTGATAACGCAAACAATTTCTAGATAAGCTTGATATAGTATCGTTTTTTGTTAAATCTCCGAAAGTTGATCGTGAAAACCTGTGTTCAAAATGATTCCTTGTTACGTGTACGTTACGACCTTCTATCGCGATGACTTGATAAGCGTTGAACAATAGTAGAGTTTAGTCGACTAAGCGCCTACTTTGGTGCCGCTGGACTAACATTATCGAAAATATCCGACCAGCGCAGAGAGTCCTAAAATGGTACGTTAAATTCGCGCGCCAACTTCGATTGGCTGATCAACTTGTCTGTCGTTGAAAGTTTCAATTGACCACGTTGTTTGAGACAGTGATGTATAACTGAGTGTGATAGACTCTTATTTTATTGCCATGAATAAGGGACTGTAAACGCGGTTAATTCTCTTGTAACTAGTTATAAGGAAAATGTGTTCTGTGTTTGAAAATTTGAAAAGGGGAAGTTATTAGAGGAGACAAAATGTAAAAATAGGGGTAGATGATGAGCTATCAGTGTATTTGGAAATTTATATAAATAGAAGTTCGTCCAACTGGCAATATAATGAGAGACTGTTGTAGTAGCCTGTAGACGCTTTAGAGATGTAAACTTTTTTCTCTCACACTATGACAGCCACCTGCCCATCACTGTTTAGAACACTTGTTGCTCGCCCAGCTGAGTGACTTAAATTTTGATTTGTCAGGGCACGGCATCGTTTCGACCCTCTTGCATTTCGTACGTGTGCGTGAAACGATTACGAACTCGCGTAACGACGCTAATAGAAAACAAACGTGTAGGTGTATTGACACGAGCGAGTAAAGTTAACACTACATTGTAAATTGCCGCGGTACCGTCCGATTACTTTGAACTCGTTCCTTCAGTTTGGCTCAAGAAATTGAACTCGGCGTGATTCGAGTTACTTCGTAAATCACGATAATTAATCTCTCTGTTCCACTTCTGGAAGTAGTGATTGATGTTCTGTGCATTGTTCTTTTGCGGCAGCGAGCGCGTAGACGTGATATTCTTGAGTTATAATACGCTCCTCGAATCGCGTCGATTTGAATCCATTGTAACGTCGACCATATCGAATGCGGTACAAAAGAAATCTGGCGATTTGTTAGTTATCCATTAACGTCCAATTGGGTAAGCGGTCATATTTTATAGGAAATCAATTTGTCATGCATTATTTATTAGCCCGGTTTCAGACCTTCATTTATTTCAAGTTCTGCTAATTGAAATAAAACTGTATTTCCGACTTGTTTTATTCGTGTCTCAATCGATTTCACCGATAAAACTGTGTATCATCGGTCCGTGAGTCATTAAATAATCGCTACGTTTATTCTTAGAAAGGACACCGCTCTATAATTTTTTACGAACATTTCGCTTCGAATGTATTCAGGAAGTATCTCAAGTATGTCAGGAAGCGTCTGTTGCTTTAATTGTTCACATGTTTTAAGAACTCCATGTTATGAGAATCACAGTCAAAACGATAGAACGATAATTAAAGGAAACCAATACCAGATCTTTGATTATAATTTGTATAATTTGTTTGTATTAAAAGTGGTGTTGCACGATATGATCAACCCAAAAGAAACAAAGCGAAGTCCCTGATTAAAATTGCTATTTATACTCGAAACTTTTAATGAATGATAGACAATGTGATTCTCAAAATTTTCAGCGTATGATGCTACTCGTGCATTTCACAGAATAATAAAAAGCAAAATCTTGTAATTTAGCTTGCAAGCTCCGTGTTCCGTCCGATAAGCTATCACTCCTTGCAAGTACAGGAAGCGCGGGAATTGGCAATGGAATCTGACCTATATCGCGCGAATCTTCTTCAAGTGCCTGAAACGAATCTCGTAAAGTCAACCGACGAAGGTGTAGCTGTTACTTCATTTCCTCTGTTCTGAATTACTTCGAATTAGAATATTTCCTCATTGACCGCGCAGCGTAATACGCGGTAGATCTTATCTTGAAACTGATTAATACATCCGTTCTTATCTCTTCATTCTCTGAAATAAGAAAGATAAATTATACTTGAACTTCTGTTTCAGAACACATAGAAATAGTTTGTTAAGGACAGACGGACTGTTATGTGGCGGATCGTAGGGTGTATAATATGCGAGACAGCGTACTAGTCTTTTCACTAGCATGGATTCTTTTTGCCACTCAACTAGGATTATGCGGCAAACTCGAACGGGTTGCTCAACAACAGAACAACGTGCTGGACGATTACTATGCCTACCGCCACATCTCTATCGTACACTTCTACATACCGGACTACACTGTCACGGCTGCGTTCAAGTAAATATCAAAATCTTTGAGAAGATTATAGTGATTCAAATAATATTACTATATACCTAATCATTTATATTGACGCATTTTAGGTTCATCGCAAAAGAAGAAAAAACAGGAGGAATAGGTAACTGTGCATCGCGCAATGTCTCTCTATTTCTGAAGTCCGGTAGTTTACCGTTCGTGACGCCCGATGGGTCAAAGATAACGGCAAAGCTGATGAAAAGAAGACGCCGATACTACTCCCTCGATATGGAAAGCAATGGCGACGAATATAGGATTACAATCGAAGCACCTTCGCCAGGTGACTGGTACGCCATCGCTTTTCGAACTTGGAGCGATCCTGACAACGGGAAAATCACTCAGCAAGGTGAATGAGTTAAGAAAGTTCCTCATAGAACATTAACCATTAGCAGTTGTTTTGGATGATTATCAAAATTCTATCATAATTCTTATTAAAACAGTTATTGTTTCTTTGCTCTATAATTAAAGAGACCAATAATTCCAGGTCTTGGCGCATCCTGCGACACGGTACTAAATGCAGAGCTGCTCTTGGAGTCCGCCTCGCTGGTGTCACCGATGGACCCAAAGTCAGAGTACAAAGTACACATGAACGAAAGCGTAGACTCCGCCGTGATGCAGCTGTTCATCCCCGACGAATTCGTAGACTCTACTTTATCCTTGAAATCGAGCTGCGGCGACGAGTGTCAAATCGCGGTTCACGTTACTGCCGATGATCACCTCGTGGGAACGATCGTGAACTCCACAAATGCAACCATGTTCTTCAAGCCTTATTCGGATGCGTTCCACTTCGTGACACTGCGTTTGCTCTCGGGAGAATCGTCGGACGTGTTCTTGCAATTGATCGACGACTCACCTTCTGACTCGAGTCAGGTGAAGTCAGTGGACCTGATGAGAAAATCCTTGCCAGATTTCTTCCTCTTCGACTATGAGCATCTGCGAGAGAACGCTACGAAACCGTCGGCCTTCAATCTTACTTCGGACACGTTGTCTGTTCTCAGTTTTGAGATTGGTAGAATATATGATGTCGGTGGAACGTTGACTTTGGGAATCAAGCTGGTTGATGAGAAGGAGAAGAGGAACGTTGTTGTGGCTGCGTGTATTTCATTAGGTTAGGAATAGTTAATGTTGACTGCTATGGTTAAGGTAGGAAGGTGAAGATGGAGGAAGTTTCTCTGAATCCTTCCTCCATATCTCCCATTAACTAAAAGAAACCTAAGTTAGCATAACGAACAAGATAGCAGAGATCTGTAATAGACAGTGAATCCTTCCATAGCAGTCAACGCGTTAAATGACCTTTTCAAAAGTACATTCCCTAAAACATGCATATCTGCAGGTTACTACTCGAACATCACTGCCGGAGGAGGCTGTGCTCGAATGGAGAACATAACCGCAGCCGACATTTACGTGAACTCAACAGGACCAGCCGCGCTTCACGTCCCGTTTCCAGAACCGGGTATCTGGCACGTGAGCCTGAAAGCGTTCTGCCTGGAGGAGAGTTGCCACTGCATCGAAACTTGTATGAACGAGACCCTTTGCGAGTACTGCGACTGTATGACTCCCTGTGACGCCAGAGTGGAGAGCCTAATCTCTTCGTCGCCGTGTATCGAAGGTCGTTGCAATTCGCGAGGAAAATGCATGCACTACATGAGCGGAGGATTCGTGTTCGCCGCGTGTCACTGTTCCGGTGCTTATCGAGGCTTCGACTGCGCGGATGACACTTACGTCCTCAGCAACAGTGACATCATCGTCCGCGTGGCGTTGTTGACCTTTAGCAACCTTGCGTTCATCGGTTCGGTGTATGTCGCGATACGCAGAGAGTACTTCACCGAAGCCATCGTTTACGCAGCGGTGATGTTCTTCTCCACGTTTTATCACGCTTGCGAGGCTGGTGAAGACGTCTACAGCGTGTGCATCATGAGGCTGAGCGTGCTGCAGTTCTGCGACTTCTTCAATGCTCTGTTGTCCATCTGGGTGACGCTGGTGGCGATGGCCTCGTTCGGACCGAAGCTCACCGCTTTTTGTCAAATAACTGGCGCCGTGGTCCTCGCTATGAGCGCTGAGATGGATCGTACGGCGCTATGGGTGTTCCTTCTGCCAGCCATAAGCGGCTCCGCTTTGATTGGACTCTCTTGGGGATTGAGGTGCAAGAGGAGGGGCACTGTTCGGTATCCATTGCGTCCTTATAGGTGAGGGTTCTTTTGCAAATTGGAAATATGATACTGGATGGTACTTCTGGGTCTGGTAATAAACTATTCGGTGATAGGGTCATACATAAAATGTAGCCCTACAATTAAGGGAAGTTTAGAGAAGTTAATTGGAACCTTAAGTCATTGAGTATTATAACTATTACCTATAATAACATCAAATAAGTATATTACATATTATCTGCCCACGAGAGTTGTACATCACTCTCACCAAAGTAAGATTATACTTAGCAAACTCATGCTTGAAATCATCTTATAGTGTGTGAATCCAAACTCGTATTAATTAGAGAATGACTATGTGCATTATGTAACCGCAAGTTTATTTATGTTCACAGAAACATTTATTTTCCGGCTGGTCTCCTTCTAGTCTCTCTCGGCCTGGTCTGCTACGCATTCCTGCAAACGCGAAAGAATTACTACATCATTCACAGTCTGTGGCACGTGTGTGTCGCCATAGGAGTCATATTACTTTTACCTAAGCGGCAGTACATGAAATGATTGTTACATAAAAATCGTACCTTCGTAGCGAAAGTTATTGAATCCTAATTAGAAAGAGAAGTTCGTTCACAACGGATACAAAAATGTTTAATGGTGCTCGCAGGCGATTGTATATTGAATGTACATTGTAATCAGAGTCTTATTCTTATAAAACATGACGTTTATAAATACGAAGTTTAGTAAGTAAACGAAGCAATACGACAGTATTAACAATTTCAAAATCGTATTCGCATAATTAGCTAGCATGAAAATTTAAGGTACGTTCGAAATAAATTATTTATTGAATTTATGGTCGCGGTGCGTTCAAAGATTGAAACGCTAGCTAAGGACCAAATGTCTGGAACACGTACTAGTACATAGCGAGAAAAATATTTTTTCTGCAAAAAGATTACATTTTACTAAGGTAAATGTATCATAGCGCTTTACAATTTATCCAAGAGCCAAAGAATTCACTATTTTTGGGAACTCAAGTTCCAACTTGAACGTCGATCGTTCAATTTTAGACAATTCGTTTCACTTTTATCTTAGGAATAAAGACCTCGCACGCGGATCGCTTTTAACCCTTTCACTGCATTATATAATATTCGAAACTGAATTAGCTTGACTTTGTAGGAGAAATTTATTCAATTCTTTCATACTGTTTCTGTAGACATTATTCTTCTAATGGATATATGAAAGCTTGATTAATGCGTACTTTGCAGTGAAAGGATTAAAGAAAAAGAATAGGGAACTATATATTTGTAAAAGATTAGCGCATCCAGATCGAGAATCGTAGACCGTGCCTACCTTGTTCGAGCATCAATTGTACAACGCATTTAGGCTTTTCTTGGTTTAGGAGAGGGAGGAAGGTTTCATCGTTTTTTAATTAGAACCCTTGTAGATTCTAAGAGCCTACAAAGTGAGAGAACATTTCTTCCTACACTTTTCCTTGACTAAAAGAAGCCTAAGTTATACACGACAAACAACGAGATAACAGAGATCGTTATGCTCAATTACCTTACACGGAGATCGTGCAAAAAACAAGTGTTCGCAACGAATGAAAGTTGTCTCGTTACACACTAAAGTGCACAGAGTAATGACACCCCGTCACTTCACGAGACGGTAATTTCACTTTTCTTGGGTTGCACGTATGTCAAATGTGAAACAGAAATAAATTATACAAGAATCATTGTACAACTGTATGCTTTTAATTCGAGTTGCCTGCAACTGATCATCTACGATTAGATCGCTTTGTCGAAAATCAAGGTTAGTTAATTAGGATTACTTCAATCTTTTCTGTTATTCCATAAGTTCGTATCAATTTTTATATTCACAGTAAAATATGTGAACTTTCTATTTATGTTTTAAATGGAGATATGGTAATTTATTTTTAGATAAATACATTTTGAAGAACGTGACACGAACTTATGGTGTGATCTCAACCTGTTTCTATGGCGTTCAAGTATCTACATTCTTAATTGCAATTCTAAACAAAAATGAAGTAAAATATTTTCTTTTCACATTACTTAACTCTAGTTACAGTGAACTATTACATTAGCTAAGAATTTGGATTTAATTTTCATTTCCTAAACCTTTAACATTCTTCCATATTTTAAGAAACTATTAGATACTTCCAATATTCAGATAATAATTTTAGTCAAAGTATCATTGTATCTATTCCATAACTGGGCCACGATTGACCCAGCAACCGCCTACAACTAACCCTCAAGAATTACAACGTTCCAGTTCCAGTGGGACTCGTAACATCAGCGTTAACCGTGGAGACCGTAGCAATCACGTTTGATAACAAAGATAACATAGTCTCCATAGAAAACCCGCAATGGGAATAAATACGCGAACAAGTTCGACCGTTTCTCCCCGCTTCTATAGCTTCCTGTATCGCAGTGCCTTCCATTGCAGTCCGGAAGATCTGATTCGTAGTGATGGTTTCAATCATGCGATCAAAAGATGACACCTTCTCGTCGTTTGATTTGCTTCCTTCTCTTATGGATGCTGCCGCCTGCTGCGAATACGTGCACACTGCTCGTTGCATGCAGGACGTCGTATCGATCCCGTGACGTGCTAATACGTCGTCCAGTTTCGTCATGATTTGAGTGAAGCCGCTTTCTTCACCTGAAATGAATTATACAAATATAGTTTCATACATACATTAAAGTAGAATCATTTCATATATATACATTAAAGTACAATCATTTCATACATGTACATTCAAGTACAATCTTCATACACATATGTTAAAGTACAATCATTTCATACATGTACATT